ATTCTGTGGGTAGCCAATGAAAATACATCACTCACTTCGAGGTTACGTCTCACGAAACCCTCGCAACCCCAAATCTTGATGTGGTCTAAATTGGGAACTTTCCCAGTCCACATCTCGTGAGGTGTTTTGGAAACCTTCTTGGTAGGGGCTAGATTTAGGATATAGGCGGAAGTCTCTAAGGCGTACCCCCAGAAAGAGATTGGTAACGAAGCTCGACTCATCATGGAACGAACCATGTCCAACAAGGTTCGATTACGCCTCTCAGCCACACCATTAAGCTGTGGTGTTCTGGGAGGTGTCAATTGTGAGACAATCCCACATTCCTTAAGATAGTCAAGGAACTCTGTACTAAGATACTCTCCTCCTCGATCGTATCGAAGCATCTTAATGTTCCTGCCCAACTGATTCTCCACTTCCTGTTTAAACTCTTTGAACTTTTCAAAGGTTTCTGACTTATGCTTGATTAAGTAGACATAACCATATCTACTGTAATCATCAGTAAAAGTCACATAGAAGCGGTTTGCATCCCTTGTGGCGGTTCTGAAGGGTACACACACATCTGTGTGGATGAGGTCCAACAAACCTTCACCCCTAACACAAGTACCAGTGAAGGGTGACTTTGTCATTTTTCCAAGCAAACAAGACTCGCAACTATCATCTGAATTTAAGTCAAACGACTCCAAAACTCCAGCCATCTGGAGTTGGCCTATGCGCTTCTTGTTAACATGTCCACGACGATAATGCCACAAGGATGCTTTATCCAAACTAGTGGAAGAATCGATATGTAATACATTATTTCCTAAGTTGTCTACAACCGACACAGTTTCATATACACCATCACAAGGTAATGCTTTAAAATCGAGAACATATTATAAAAAGCAGAATACCACCACTTCATTCAAATGAAGAAGTAAATCCTTGTTTGTACAAAGCCGTGAAAAAAATAATATTTCTCGCCATTTCAGACGAGTAACAACAGTTATTCAAATCTAACACTAACCCACTACTTAGCAACAAAGAATAAATTCTAATCTTGGTGGCAGGTGTAACTTTCCTATTCCCCATGATCAAGTTTATCTTTCCGTGCTCCACATCCTCACTTTTTCTTAGGCCCTGCAAATCAGAACATATATGAATACCATAACCTGTATCAAGAACCCAAGAAGTATAATGTGATGAGTTATTAGAAAATATAGTGTAAATACCTGCATGGGTAGGTTTGACCTTCCCATCCTTAACATCTTGCAGGTACTTGGGGCAGTTTCATTTCCAGTGCCCCTTTTCCTGAAAATAGAAGCATTGAGCTTCTTTTGGGTTGGGAAGAAGGAGTGATAGAACCACCTTTGGTTCCACTTGAAGAGGATCCAACAAGAGACTTTCCCTTGGTACCCTTCGAAGGGTTTTTCCTCTTCTTCCCTCTACTTTGCCCGATTGCCAGAACAGGGGCGGTGGTTGGAGTAGGAGTAGTAACAACCGATTTGCCCTTAAGACCAGTTTCAACGGTCTTCAAGAGCCCTTGAAGTTTGCTAAGTCTGACCTCCTCCTTGTTCATGTGATATGTCATTCGAAATTGATCATAACAAGTAGGTAAGGAGTGCAGTATGATATCAATAGCCAAATCCTCAGGGAAGTTCACATTCAACTTGAGCAAACGGTCCACAAACCTTTGCATTTTCTGCATGTGGCCCGTGATGGGTTCACCATCCTTCATTCGGGTTGTTATCATGGAAGAGATGATTTCATACCTCTCTTGACGAGCACTTTGATGGTAGCGGTCCATCAAGTCCATGTGCATCTTAAAAGGGTAAAAGTCCTCATAGGACTTTTGGAGTTCAGCTTTCATTGTGGCCAACATGATACATGCCACCTTGGTAGCATCTCTCTCATGTGCCCTAAAGTCAGCGATCTCCTCTGGAGTAGCAGTAGACTCATCAATATCCTTCAGCTCATTGTCGAGGAAATATTCCTTGTCCTCGTAATGAGTGACCATCCTGATGTTCCTGATCCAATCATTAAAGTTTGAACCATTAAAGATGACTCTCCCACAAAGGTTCATGAGAGAGAATGAGCCGGTAGGGATTGAGTTAGAAGCAGCATTGTTGGAAGACATCTGAAAAGAAGAAAGACAAGTTTAGATTAGATATAGAATTTTTTAAGAAGACACCCAAATGTAATATAAAGGCTAGGACCCAACACAATACTTCATAACTTGGAAGAGGGATACCGTAATCCAAGCTATGAAATATTTGAAGGTAGGTGAATGACGATTCACCAATTTCCACCATGAAAAATGAAATAAATGATTAGGTTTTAATTGGATTGAAACTCCTAGATTGTGCCCTCTCAAGTTTGTGACTGGGATGCCGAGGATCACAAACAAGGTGTGAATAACCATGAAAATTTACTTGGTACCCTTAATCTTTATCACCTAATCAATGTGTCGGTTACCCACACGCGCTCCACCGATCTATGATAAACATTAAGTCACCCTTTGCCACTCTTACTAGTCCATGTTAGTGTGTCGGTTACCCACACACGCTCCACCAACGACTTGGTAAGGTACAAAGTGTAATTTCATGGGATAGCACCAATTTCACATTTTCCTAAAGTAAACTAAGATTGGGAATTTATAAAAGGTTTAGTTACTTTATATATTTTCATTATACTTTTAATGAGAATTCTAGTCCTTGTCCTACCCGTTCGGCTAACAACCCTCCACCAGTTAAGGAAGTGGTGGGTGAGAGTAGACACCCATTAAACTGCCATTTTATAGGCAACAACCTTTCACATTTTCCCCCATTGCTCTTATATATATATATATATATATATATATATATATATAAATATATTATATATATATATATATATATATATATATATATATATATATATAGGGAAGGGTTATTTGGAAAACAAAAAAAACCCTAAAAATTATAAAATGCATAAAAAAAATGAAACCAAGACATCACAAAACTTTTTTTTTGAAATCTTTTATCAAAAAATCGCAGTATTTTTTTATGCATTTTTTACAATTTCGCTGAAAAAAAATATATTTTTGTTTTTTTTGTAAAATTTTTTTTTTCAGCGGTTTTGACCTAAAATGTTTTTGACTTTACAAATTCCAAAACTTGAGGGAATGTTTTGAAACTATTCAAAACCTTTCATGTTCATAACTTATGGGTTTAATGGTTCATTAAAATGAAGACTCTTCATATTATGTAACATATGACTCTTTAATGACAATTTTAAAGAAGTGACTTTTTGGTAATCCATAACTTGAGGACAAATTACTCTTTCAGAAAAAAACTTGAGGACAAATTATGGACTCCATCAATAGGCATTAAGATCAAGAATTACACTAACAAACAATTTGAAAATAATTCCTATGATCTTCTAAAACTCATAAGTATGAACATTCATATCAACAATTTCAAGAATCATATAAACACATATAAAACTTAAAATTTTGATAATAACCATTGTAAATGGATTAGCATAATCATTACACCATCAAAAACAGGTTTTATAAGTCCAAAACAGTTTAGGGTAATGATTCTAGTCCATTTCCAGCAGCAAAACTCGAAATTCTGCACACAGGGGCTCCTACTCGTCGAGTGCAAGAACCTACTCGACGAGTAGGATGAATTTTGTCATGGAATCGTCGAGTCCCCCCATGGACTCGGCGAGTTCACTGTTTAGTGAGCAGAAAAATCGAAATGTTTAAGCAGTTTGCATCAAATACAAAGAAAACAAGCCTAGGCTCTGATACCACTGATGGGTTTTGAGCATTCTAACAATCCTAAGGTGTACATGCAACCCTAGAAACCTTGTATCTATGTTTTCTCTAATATTCATGCAAATAAAGAATTTTCCAAGGTTTACATCCTAACTAGCATGGCATGGGGTACTTGTAATATAAAACTAGTAGAATGACATACCTTTCTTGTAGCTTGGATTCCTTAAGACCTTGTGAAGCTAGCACCCCAAATGTGATGCCTCAAATGTTTCACACAACACCCACAACTCTTGGAATAACTTGAGAGAAGAACACTTTGATCACAAAATCGGCTAGCCCTCCTTGTCTTATAATAGTGGCCGATTTTACTCCATATGAGGCTCTTTATATAGTGTGCCACATGTAGGGTTACACCATGTAAACCCTAATGTGCATGGCTTTTCATTTCCCCCATGATCCATGGGTTATAACCTCCATGGAGCATCCATGGAGCACCAAATGGGTCCTAGCCCAATCTAGTGAGTCATGAACCATAAGCCCACTATATAAGAATGAATGATTTACAAATCAATCCCCATATATTTAATTAGTCTCTTTTTGATCAAAAAATTAATTCCAAATTAATTCTTGATCAATACTAATTAAATAATATGATTTCAAATTAATATACTAGAACTTATAATATATTAACAAATTGTAAGTGTCCTTTTTCTCATTTTGTCTATCCAATTGTTTGAGATGAAGATGCAACCCAAATGGACCATGCCAAGCCGGGTCAAGTACATACTAAATATAGTTATGGACTTAGACACCTTATCCAACAAAACCTACCGTTGACTATAATCAGCGTCGATGGGAAGGAACAAGTAACCAGGATAATCGAGTTCTCGGTAGTCAAGCAAAGATCCGATAACGATATAATCCTTGGGCGCCCGTATCTTTTTCAATTACAGGCTATCCCATCGACAATACATGGCATGGTCAAGTTCAGAACAACAAAATGTTCAGTAACGGTCACAACCATTAACACATGAGCAAGGCCAACCCGGGAAATCATTGCGTGAGCCACCACCCACATCCCAAAAAGAAGACAGACCATGATAGTCACACCCAAAATGGTCAAAGACGATAATAAAGACACCCACACTCCCGATAAGAAGAATAAGTTCAAATCCGGGCATGTAGCACGGAGGGACGGGCGCGATAGCAACAACATTACCATGCCAGATACATCGCGTATCGTTAGCATGAACACCAAGAAGGGTTAGGTATCACTAAGAATACCCATGCGCCTTCGCGAAGTGAAAGCACAAAGTACGGAGAAGAAGCCTGACAGAAAATAAAACCAAGCGAACGCAAAAGTTGGGGAGGGAAAGATAGGGAACCGCCCTGCAAAAGAAGATACAAATAGGAGGCTGCCAGCAACGGTAAGAGTCCGCAGTTGGCAGAAGCTTTCACCAGGACGACACCTGGTCCAAAACCCCGCGAAAAACAAAATCAATAACAACAACGCAACACCAGATGACACGAAACCTCCCAAAGATACTAACCAAACAACCGGCACCAAAGAATGGAAGAGATTGAAAAATCGTCTTCCGAAGGATGACTGTCCAAGAAGCAGCCACTCATGCGAACGCAAACACCAGAGAACTTGTAGGAACAGGAAAGGCACAAAGTAAGAAAGACCAAGAATAAGAAGATCGCAACCGGATGACCTGGGAGCCCCAGGGCCCAAGCCAATGGTCCTAGCTTGGAAGGAATCAGGAGAATGGGCTACGTAAGCAAACTTCCACCGGATAATCACACCCCAACTAGCCAGTAAAAGACCTAGAAGTATAATGGTATCAGGTTTCGAACCCCCGATACCTACCTAAACGATGTAGATGTCTCCAAGACATCAAACAAAATATGTATGTAATAAAAATTTGGAATGAACAAGTATCAAATATAATTCCATACAAATGACGAACAAAAACGGACTGATCATCCGTGCCACATAACAATAAAATCACGGAGGAAAACAGAATTGTAAGCCCCAAGGGCTCATAATTCCCCCCTAACAAACATATCAAAAAGGTCGGTAGAGCCGCAACTCCTGATCATGACAAACAAGAGGCTTTAAAGGATCCTAAACTTTCCCTCGAAACATATAAACTCCCAGACTTCGAGGTGACAATCTCGACCTGGTTTGGATGACAAGGGCCAGAGTGCAACTCTCCTTGGCCCAAGGCATAGAAAAAGGCCCCATAAAAAAGTCCTTTAGCTAAAAAAGGATGTTCCAACGAAGCAGGACAACTATGGCCCGCACCTAAAAGCCAGCCAAAGCCTCACACTTCGAGGCCGGGCCAAAGGAAAAATGACAGGCTCAGATGCTCTGGTTCACCAAAACTCATCAAAACAAATAACAACCACCCCAAAAGGGCGACACTAACCTATGGGAAGAATTCAAGCCAAAGATGGCCAACATAAACAATCAGACACAAGGACAACACAAAATAATTGTGTAACAGACCAAAAGAAGGGGAATTTAACATACACAGAATAAATTATCTACCCAGACAACCCCCCAAGATTTGCACAAAGACCACGCAGGGCCAAAGAAAAGCAGCGAAACATTGTTTAAAGTACGAAACAAACATAAACATTATCTTGAAATATTCAAAGAAGAAATAAAAACCGTCACTTACTAGGGGAAGCACCAGTATGAGAAGAGCCACCTTCGACCTAACTATCCTTGGCGTCAGAGTCATCACACAACCGGCTAAGTCATGCCATGTCTAGCTCGCCCAAGTGGAGGTAGGAGGAAAAGTCTGTCTCCATAAACGGTTTTACAACAACGTGCATCGCCTGAGTATGCTCCGTGGTAGCAACTGCCTCCCCAGGGACAAACTTCCCAGTAACAACTTGTTCCCGAATCTCCTGCTTGCCATTCTCCACACCAGCGGCCATACACGCCATCTTCATCCACTTCACCCCCATCGTAAACTCAGAACTTTCAACCACCTTGTCCAACACACGGACAACTCCCTTTTAAAGCATCCACCCCGGATCATCCTCCATGCTCTTCCTCCTCGCCACCTTTTCCTCCAATCGCCTGTTAGCGCGATCCACCTGGTCCTCAAACACCTTCTTCTCTTCCACCAACACCTCGATACACTGGGAGAAACACTCCACCGACCCATCCAAAGATACGACCTTGTCCTCCAGAGATGCCTTTTCCCCCACCTGGTGATCATAACGCTCCTCAAATGAACGCTTCTCCTCTTCTAACGCCAGCAACTTGGCTCTTAAATCGACTCGCTCAGCCCTGATCTGAACGAGCTCGCCAGAAATGGAATCGCCCTGACGAAGGTGAGATGCAGTCGCAACCATATACAACCTAACCTGGGCAGCCGCATATAAAGACTGTTAGAAAAATGAGCATTTGAGAAAAGCTCCAAGGCCTCGATGGTGGCCCGGGGGGTGGGGGTTGGGGGAGAAGCATGACGACCCCAATCGTATGTCACCGTGTGCTGGGAAAGGAGAGACTCCCCAGTTATCCCCCACCCGTGCATGTACACGGTCGGCACTGCCGGAGGAACAGGAACAGAGCCCTCAGCAGGCTCTCCCCCAACCAAAAGCAAAACTGGCGAGTTGGGAGCACCTACATGACCGGTTTTCTGGTCCACACCAAAAACGCTTTCGATAGCAGTATCCATCGGTTCTTTCTTGGGTTCAGGGGGTAGTTCTGTCGCCCCTTCTTTCATCCCCTCCGACTGTTTCAAAGTGTCATCATCGAGGATATCCACAACTACTGTGTCTTCCCCTAGAAGGAAGTCCACATTCCGCTTCTTCAGAAGGCGTTGTCCTGAGGAGTCGGCCTCGGTAGACTCCACCTATGGCGAATCCAGCCAAGAAAGCCTCCGCTTAGAGGCCACACAGGTCCTGCGTTGGATTAGCCCAGTTGACGGCTCCTCCCCCTAAGTATCAAAAGGCAGGGGGTCTTCACGGGAAATACCACCGACAGGCGCGTCGATCAGCACCTGGCCAGCGGGAGAGTTGGACCCAGGAGAAGAGGAAACAGGAGGACTTGCGAGAGCTAAAGCACGGTCAAGACTGACTGATGGAGGAAGCGTCTCGACCAAGGGCACCTCCCGGTACTAAAGGGTGCCTTGAAAACGGCCCCTCAATACCATGTCGATGGGAAGAATACTCTCATGACCTGAAAGCAAGGAAAAGTCCAAACACAGTTCACACAACATATAAGCGAGAGTGTATCAAAGGGGGGGGGGGAAGGAGAAGTGATCATCGTCTTTCTCAATGTAGAACTGACGCATCATCCCTCGGGTCCTACAGGTATCACTCAACCCAACCGCAACAAGTATGTGGTCCTCCCAATCCTCTCCGTCAATGCAGATGGTATTCAATGCCTATGCGACGATGGCGCTGGCACCCCACAGTTCAGGAGCCCGATCAGAGAAAGTGGCCAAGCAGGGATAACCGAAACAGACAAAATTACGGTTCACCCAAAGCCACCGATCCTGTTCTTCTTCGGAGCTTTATGATTGATGATGAAATCATGAACACCCCTCTTATGGGAAAAAGTCTGGGCACTGGACTGAGTGGATGAATTGAAGAAAACCTTGAACACCTAAAACTATGGCAAAACTCCGAGGGCCCGACAAGCAAGTTCGATGTCGACGATCTTGTTGATGGTATTCGGAGTCAGGTCGTCCACACGGAGTCCATATTGACGCATAATCTCGTCAAAGAAATCCGTCGTCGGCAGCCTCAGCCCCGCCTCGAAGATCAGAATGGGAATTCCGATATTCCCCAATGGAGAATGAGAAATGATGGCCCCCTTTAGAGGGTATTCTACGCTATGCTCAAGAAGAAACCCAAACCGCTCTTGCAGACTCGAAAACTCACTCGGGGATGGAACGATTCCAGTATTAGAAGAAGCCATTGCTCGACAAGAAAGAAAGAGCAGAAGGAAATGAAAAGAGGAAGTAGTAGACGTGAGGGAAACCAGGAAAAAAGGAACCGAATCAAAAAAGGAAGTTTTAAATGAAAGGGGGAAGCCCAAGCGGTTGTGATGATGGAATCTGTCTGCACAGATGCCTCCGTCACATTAACTGTAGCTAGAAAACCATCCCCACTAAACGCATGTCTAGATCTAAGCTAGAACTAATCAGCCTACCCTAAGCAAATGCTGACATTTACTAGCCTAGGGGACTTGTTGACGTATAGTTCGACAGATGAATCGGCCAAGGAGCAATGCACGACTAATGTCGGGCCTTCGCCCTCACCTTCGAGACCCCATATCCGTTCCTTGCTGCCCAAGCGTCAAGGCTAATGTTGAAGACAAAACAGTACCAAGAGTTCCCTATAGCGACAAGTGTAGTGCTCTGGACTCCGCTTTTGGCAGAATTTGCACCAATAACAAACAACCACCCATGGAACACGATCCACCAATCAAAAGCCATCAGCCCCTGCCAAACCTGAAAAGGTAGAAGATACTATCAGGGATCTGGTCCCCTTACCACAGATATAAAAGGCACCCTTCCCCCCCAAGAGAAGGGGGCAAGATCTAAAACCATTTAACACTCTCTTTACACTTTCAACCCACTCTCTCGCAGACCCTCACTGACTTGATCTTCGGAGCCTCGTTCCGGGACAACCTCCCGGACGATGACTGACGGTCATATCTTCTTTGTTGTGATCCATAATTTTTTCATTCCACCCTCGAAAAGACGGAGTTAATCCGGTGACATATCACAACATATACTTTGTATACCAAACTGACCCTACCTCCGATATGATCCTACCTGGTTGTTCCTTACTTGATAGATCTTGAAGTAGACTTTGAAATGTTGATATATAGTGTCTAAGTCCATAACTATATTTGGTATGTACTTGACCCGACCCGGCATGGTCCATTTGGGTTGCACTTCACCCGAACAATTTATGGATAATCGTTTGAGAATAGTATAAGTTATGATTTATTAATATATTATAAGTCCTAATATATTAATATAAAATCATATTATTTAATTAGTATTGATCTATAATTAATTAAGAATTAATTTAGAGATCAAAAGTATGACTAGTTAAATATGGGCTCTTGTATTTATATAGTGTGGGCTAATGCTTATTTGGAATGGGCTAGGCATGCATGGAAAGTCCATGGATACTCCATGGAGCTTTAACCCATGGATCTCATGGAAATGAAAAGACATGGGTATTAGGGTTTACATGGATGTAACCCTAATCCACCACACTATATAAAGGAGGCTTTGGTTCTTGAAATTGCACTAGTTGATGTGTGTAAACTAAGAGGGCCGATTTCAAGAAGTTTGTGACTATTCTCTCAAGTTTCCAAGTTTGTGGTGATTTGTGACTTCCATTTGAGGCATCCACATTATTGGTGCTAGGCTCTCAAACTCCAAACAATCAACTACTACTACAAGGTAAGTAATTCTACTAGTTTTATTTGATTCAAGTACCCCATGCCATGCTAGTTAGGATAAGAACCTTGGAAAAATAATTATTTGCATGTATCTTAGTCAAATATAGATCCAAGGTTTCTAGGGTTGCATGTACACCATAGGAGTGTTAGAATGCTCAAAACCCACCAGTGGTATCAGAGCCTGGTTTGTTTATTTGATACTTGATGCAAAAAAAAAAAAAAAAAAAAAACTTGAAAATCGAAGTTTTGTTCAAAAGCTCGTATCAAAATTTCAAGTTTTGTATATGTACTTACGATTCTTGAAATTTTTTATATGAACATTCATAAACATATGAGTTTAGAAGATCATAGAAATTATGTGCTAATAATTGATTACATTAATTCTTGATCTTTATGTGTTTTAATGGAGTCCATAACTAGTTTTTAAGTTATGGATAACCAAAAGTCACATTTATAAATAACCATTAAAAGAACACATAGGTTACAAAAAATGAAGAGTCTTCATTTTTAATAACCATTAACTCATAAGTTATGAGAAATGAAAAGTTTTGAAAGTTTACAAAACTTGCCCTCAAGTTTTGGAACATGTAAAGTCATATTAAAAACTTTAGTTCCAACCCCTAGAATTTTAAAAGTTAAAATTCAACCCTTATACTTTATAATATTATAAGTTTAATAATATTTATATATGTATAAGATCAAGTCGTCTTACCGCTAGTACGCCTCATTCACGAAGCCGGTCTATAAGAGGGGTATAAGGTTGTTGCCTATAAAATGGCAACTTAATGGGTGTCCACTCTCACCCACCTCTTCCTTGATCGGTGGAGGGTCGTTAGCCGAACGGGTAGGACAAGGACTTATAAATTCTCATTAAAAGTATAATGATAATACTAAAGTAACTAAACTTTATTGAATTCCCAATCTTAGTTATTTTAGGAAAATGTGAATAAGGTGCTAATCCATGAAATTACACTTTACACTTTGTTTAAGTCGTTAGTGGAGCGTGTGTGGTTAACCGGCACACTAACTTGAACTTAACAAGGTAGGTAAAGGGTGACTTAATGTTTATCATAGTATCGATGGAGCGTGTGTGGTTAACCGACACATCGATTGAGGGGTAATACATTAAGGGTACCAAGTAATTTGCATGGTTACTTCACACCTTGTTTTGTGATCCTCGGCATCCCAGTCACAAAACTTGAAGGGCACACTCGAGATTGAAACATGCCATTGAAGAAAGTTCAATGAATCTCAAAGAATCTAGGAGTTTCTAAACCAATTAAAACCTAATTAAATATTTCGTTTTTCATGGTGGAAATTGGTGAATCGTCATTCACCTACCTTCAAATATCTTATAGCTTAGATTACGGCATCCCTCTTCTAAGTTATAAAATATTGTGTTGGGTCCTAGCCTTAATATTACATTTGGGTGTTTTGTTAAGGGCTATCTCTATATCTAATCTAATCTATTCCCTCTTCTTTTCAGATGTCTTCCAATAACAATGCTTCTGGCTCAAACCCTACTAGCTCC